TCCCATGTAACTATCTGTGCACAAGCAAATGTATCTCTTGTCGGTATATCCATTAAGACAGGTGGAATTATGGAGGCAAGGATTACTAAAGCATGGATTCTGATAGGATAGAAAAATGCCTGTTAGCAACTATACTTGACCAAAAATTGTATCGTAATATAAAGTAAAATCCTACTTCAGAGGCCCAGAGAATAAAACCTTTTCTTATTTCTTTATCTTCACGATGTTGGGTGTGGTCAAAAGTACTCAGTTGGCAGAGCCTGAAGCCTTTCTCGTTTGGTGGGCCAATGTTCACAGACAAACAGTTGCTCTTCATGAGGCACTCATATCTACAGTCGTGAGTCATGAGCTCCTTCCCCATTGGCAAGTAAATTTCTCTAAATACGTAACGTTTAGGAGCACATTCTCCTTCTGATCTCTTAAACCTAAGACTTGGGCAGCCAAAATCTGGAAGGGATTGGATTTGTAGTATGGAAAAATGTGATCAGAATTTCAGCGAAAGAAATACTTACACTCTGATTAGAAATGAGAATATCACTGTTAGGGCGATACATATCAACAACACTACCATTTTCAGTCCGTTAATTATTGAAACACGAAAAATCTTTAAAATGACTCTACTCTCCACTGATAACAGAACAAGTGACAAAAAAAATATTGAAGGAAATATCTGTTCTGAAAAGTTGATATTTAACGAACCGAAATGTTCTGGAAGAAAGACGGACGAGCACAGGAAAACAGTTAAATATCAAATACGTACCACCGTTTCCATCCACAGGGCAGTGAAGCCATCCTCCCCACAGAACTGTTATGTACAGCAAAGATGGAGATAGTTTAGTAGGAATCTTCATCTTTGAAGAAAATGCTTGTACATGTCTATCGTTTACATTGAAAAAGGGACACTACCGTCAAGCTTAAATGCTCTTTGAAGTTGGCGGATTGCGTAATTGTTCAAAAATTATCCAATTTCGTAGCAATCGTCTGGTTTCTCAAGTTACTTTAAAAGCCTTTTAATATATTCCTTACATTTCTTCTTTGACAGAAATGTAAAAATGGATTTAGAACTTCAGTTTTCTTGTCATTCTTAACCATTCATATGTTTACAAGAAAATCAGTCAACAACAGTTTTTTAAAAAAAACATTGCGTTTATTCGGCTCATTAAGTTAAATCCTTTTGCAACGTTGAAAATCGTTCATCTGTCATTGCTGCATAAAAGCGTCTTGCTAGAGCAATACAATCGAATGCATTAAAATGTTGTCAATGACACAAGTTTATTGCGAATATCGTTTTATGTTATAACCTAAAAATCACTTGATATGTGTAAGGGCCAGCAAAAAATAAAACTAAATTCACCTTCTGTTAGTGAATTAACGAAGGTACAAAAATATATCTTTGAGATATTTATTATGTGACAATTTTTTATCTTCCCGTGTGGCAGCTGGAGATCGTCAAATATGAGAACAGCAGGCTGCATTGAAGATGATCTGCGCAAAGCCATTTAAAGCTTCATTTATATTGAAATATCAAGTTTTTGTTGTTTTCTCTAGAACCTCTTCAATATCGATTTTACTCTTTGCACCATTGTTGCTCCAAAATGTTCGTCAACAGGTTTTTATTCTGGCAAAGAAGCACCCATTTTTGTGCTATTTGTGTCTTTAACTACATCAATATTTCCATTTTCAACATTGTTCATGATCCTTTTTTCATCCTGGTCTTTCAACTTTTCCTGTACCTCAATCTTCCCGCTTTCTAGTGAATTGTTAGAATTTTTACTTGAGGCGTCCAGATGTTTGCCTGCAGGAAAGTGACACGAGGTTCTTCAGAAGCGGTTAACACAGACTCGTTTCTCAAGTTACTTTAAAAGCCTTTTAATATATTCCTTCCATTTCTTCTTTGACAGGAATATCAAAATAGATTTAGAACTTCAGTTTCTTGTCATTTTCAGCCATTCATAAATTCACAAGTTAATTAGGTCTCTTCAAAATGTAAATTGGCCTCCGTAAACAGTTCCTAAAGTTGACTTTCGAGCGTTGGCCCTGATTCTTTTTCATTCTGACGAAGGGCTAACGCTCGAAACGTAGGCTTAGAAACTCTTTACAGAAGCAAATTTACTCTATCAACTCAGCTGATAAGGCCGATCTTTTAATGCCCCCTAACGACGAAGCATCGCAGTTTCTTTAAAAAAATACCCCGTTTATTCGTAAATGTAGGCTCAATGAGTCAAATCCTTTTGCAACAGTTACAATCAGTCATCTTTCATTGCTATTTAAAAGCGTCATAATAGAGCAACACAATCCAATGCATCAAAATGTTGTCGATAACACAAGTTTGTTACGAATATCGTTTTGAAGAGTGGCTAGAATAAAAAATACATTATTTTATTTAACCTAAAAACTACTTGATTTGTGTTTGGGCAAGCAAAAAAGAAAACGAAATCATCATTCAGTTAATTAATGAGTTTGCGCGGGCACAAAATAACGTCTTTGAGATATTCATTATGTGGCGAATTGTTATCTTCCTTTCTCGTAGCTGGAGAATAACAAAATGAGGAAAGTAAACTGCGTTGAAGATGAACTGCGCAAAGCCACCCTCAGAATCATCAGGTAAATTATTTAAAGCTTTATTAAAATTGAAATATCTTGTTTTTCTTGTCTTCTCTAGAACCTCTTCAATATCGATTTTACTCTATGCTCCATTGTTATTAATTGGCTCCAAAATATTTGCCGATAGGTTTTTATTTTGCCAAAGAAGCACCCGTTGTTGTGCTATTTTTATCTTTTACGGCATTAATATTTCCGCTTGCGACATCGTTCATGATCCTTTTTTCTTCCTGATCTTTCAATTTTTCCTGTACCTCAATCTCCCCGCTTTCTAGTGACTTTTCAGATTTTTTTCCTAAATCGTCCAAATGTTTGCCTGCAGGAAAATTGACACGAAGTTCTTCAGAAGCGGTTAACACAGACGTAATAATGGAGAAAAACATAGATACTCCTAAAAGCACCACTGTGGCACGCAGCAGTTCCATGATAATGCTTTCAACATCAGAGGGAGCTTGTCCTAAAGAGAAAAAATAAATGATTAAGATTAGTACTGGTAGTTTTTTTCATTGTGAATGGAATTGACATGCATACTGAGGCACGCACATACATTTTGAAGGACTGAAGATGTATTTTTCCGACGTAGTTCAAGCACAATTTACACCAAGCTTGTTCAATCCAAATTCAGCGAGAAAAGAGCTACCCATTCGATTTAAAATCTTGAAAAACATTCCTGCGCTATTTTGGAAGGACTGACATGTTCTCTGCTGAGGAACACGTCGAACGTTTTGAATGTACACAATCAAGATAGAATAAGTTGGACCCATATTGTTAAGAAAGTTTCAGGAAAATATTTCAAGTCATCTTTACTTGGGATGTAAGTCGCTTTAAAAGGTCAGGGGATTGTAAAGTTCTTTTCCTTTACATCAACATACATTTCTAGGAAAAGTATACTCTAGAAACTATACGATTATTAAACCGACAATTTCAAAGTATGCACAAAGCTTTTCTTGTTATTGCGTCTTTTACCTCAAAAAATCGACCTAACAGTTTACTTGTCTTCAGAAAAGACCTAAAGACATTTTATTTTATTATATTCGACTATAGACGACGCCACTTTGAAAACATCAGTAACCTGGCCTCATGTGCAAAGTTACAAAGTACGTTTCGAAGGCAGTGGCTGCTCCGATGAATGCGAAAACAGGAAAAAAAGAGGGAAAGGATGTAGTCAAGTAAACCTTAATATGTTCAGTAAAGTTCAAGAGATTGCTAGATGAAGTTTGACAAATATCAAAAGCAGCTTGGTTTCGGTGCGAGATTCAAAATGACCGCGTTCATAGTGAAAATTTATACTCACTTATCACATAAACTGCAGTGTTGTACAAGGATTTTAAGCCTTGAGAAAAGCCGGAACAACATGCGTGAAAAAATGCGATTTTTTTTAATCGTATGTTAGATATCGCCAATCAGCTGTTGACACGTCACCTGCCTTTCGCGCTACTCTGTCATGTTAATGAATGGCAAAGCCTTCATCAATCTCAATCCAAGTTTTCTAGGATTAGTAATGCTAAAACACTGGAAAATTCGTATCACTCACAAACAATTTTCTTTAAGGGGAGGGAAACCAAAATATAAAAGAAAAAACCGAAGGTTACGTACTCTCGCGGCTGAGAATAAAAAAGGACAGCTGGAAGATTTACCACAGGCCAATTTTGGCCGTGCACCTGAAAAGATTTTTTCTTTTAGTTAGGAAAAGGTCAGTAATTGGGAATTTGTAAATTGAAAGGTACGCCTATTGTTTGTATTTGTAGTGATTGAAAGCATATTTCTTCTGGTATTGCGAATCCTATTTTTCTTACATATTGACCCTTTTACGTCCAAGATCTGATTGTTAATTCTCCCATCTAGCTGTTACACATTTCCTTCCAAATTAAATCGGAGAATTTGGTGTTGGATTAAGAAAAAAAACTTCTACGTGATAAGTTTAAGTATCCTCATTACCTATTTGCTAGATAGTGTAAGGATGTTGTAGGGAGAAGTTACCTCTCAATCACTTCTGGAAGTTAAAGGGTCAATAGAGCCGACTTCTCTTGTCAGTAAAGGGCTATCTTGTTTACATAATTTACGAATATGTTTATGCTTAGCGTGCGTATATCGAGTTATGGATGCATGCGGAAGGTTTGGAGAGCACGGAAAATGCGTAAGATGCATCCATAACTCGATATACGTACAGCTAAAAGCATGAGCAAATTCTTTCATAACAGAGCGACAGCAAGGATTTGCGCGAATAAACCTTTTATTGTGAAAGAGAGCAAAATTCTCACAACGCGCGAAAAGAGTAAACAAACGTCCCTATTTGCTGGTCAAGAACACGCCACATTTTACAGTTTGATTTGAGCGAGAGCATTTGATCCAGTTACCCAATAACTGTGAATGAAAAGCTCAAAATTTTAGTAGAAAATGGAGAAAACCAGAGGCAAATGAACTCAAGTGTCACTAAAAAATGTTTTAAAAAAATCAAAGACCCGAGTTTTTTTCGGCTTTATTTTTGTCGCCTGTTAGATCAGGACCAAAAGATCAATTCCAATAAAAAAATTGGGCAGTTCTTCGCTGGTTTCTTCCATATTTAGAAAAGCAGGTAAACTGCAGCTTAACAAGACGGAAACTCTAAAGCCAGGTTAAAAAAAAAATGCTCACGGCATCTTATTCACGCACGGGCGTGCGTAAATAAAGATTTTGTTCACAGTGGCTCAATAGGACTCATATAGGGCGAGCACGCGCGCTATGTTATAAAAAAAATAATATATGGCTGCTAGTAGATATTGAGTTGAACACTCGAAGAGAAATTTCCATGCCTAAGCACGCCCACTTATTATTCTGTATTTAACGCATTTGAGGACAACTTTCCAATTTTTTAAGCTTATTTATTCTGAGCTCCTCCTTACCTCCATTAGGCACCAGATCCCCAAATCCGATAGTCGAGAACGTGATGAAACAGAAATACACTCCTTCTAGAAAGTTCCATTGTTCTTCCTGCAGATAAAGAAACGCTCCAACAAAAAGCATCATGAGGAGAGCTAGCAGCGTCCACATAAGAGTTTTTGTGACAACTGGTTGTGATTCCCGGTTGAGCAGTTTTGTTTCTACTAAGAAGTGAATATAACTTATCAGTTGATTGACGCGGTCTCCAATGTGACGTAACACCATTAGATTTAAAGGAATTCCAAATAAAGCAAAAACCATACAGAAAACACGACCGCCAACTGTACTGGGAGCTAAGTGACCATAGCCTGTTGAATAGTAAGAGAAAGGAAATGGGTCAGGTTAGAACTTGAGGTTAATTTTAGCAACCTTTGTTTTAAAGAAATTGGCCGTAGTCTCAACAAAAATTGTTTCTTAAGTAATATGCATACCTTACGCTTAAGATGATCTACGCTCTTGTTTAAAAAGCGAGCCGGGTTTTCATTAGCTTAAAAGGTTGAAAATAAATACACATCAACCCACAATTCCTCTATTCGTTCTAAAGAAGGGCTAATGCTCGATATGCTAGCGAAGAAACTCTTCACGATGGCCAATTTACGTTATCAACTCAGTTAATAAAACCTAATTATCGTTTTATACTCTCCCACCAACGCATCACCACAGTTTCTTTAGAAAAGTATCCCCTTTTTCATTACTTTAACTGCCTTCCCGACCATTTTCCAAAGAGAGGACGCTAACAGGGGTTCAGTTGCGATGAAATCACAGAACAAACACATACGCGAAGGAAAAAAAAAACAGATCATGCTCTTCCAGCTAACCTTTAAATCAAAGATAAGCAATGAGAACTTGAAAAGAAAAATTTATACTTTACAATGAAATTCAAACAGACTATGAAAATATATATAATTATATATATAATTTTAAAGGTCAAGTTTTTTGAGCGAAAATTATAAAAGGCAAAAAGACCTTACCGACAGTCGTGACAACACTCCATGTAAAATACAATGAAGCGTAGTATGTCCATCGGGACGTACACCACTGGTCAGGGTCGCCGCCACAACGGTGTTTCACGGCATTTTCAACCTTCTCCACCAAAAAGTCGAAATCATCTGGTGTCATGTTATGCTTCTCAAGGAAGAACTTCTTCATAGAATTTAATTCTTGTATCTCCAGTTTGTCATTTTCGTTCTCTAATACTTGAAAGACTACAGCACCGGAGAGAAGATAGATTCCCAATAAAATCGCCAGGCAGATTAATCGCTTTGTGTCGGACGTGAGGTTAACGGCCATAGGCCTTCCATTGCCTTGATCCGTGTGCTTTTTGTTCGAAGAAGCTAAGAAAAAAGGATGAAAGGGTTTTTTCAATAAAATTCGTCGCGTGGTTGATTGTACAGTCGGTTCACACGGTCATGCGCAGTCTCTCACTGAACGCATATGGCACAATAGGGCACCACTTTCGCCTGGTACCTGCGCCGAGCTGAAAACTGCTGGTTGAGCCAAATGAAAGGCAAAAACAGACTTAAAAATAGAACCTGCATGTGACTTCAGAGACAAAGCATCGTTATTGGCTTGATAAAGAAATTTTTAACTTTTTCACTCTTAATTAAGATCTGAAAACTATTTTTCCTAACTGACGACCGAACATTTCTTAATTGGATATTCTTGAAAATGTAGTGATCCGTCAAGATAATATTTCCTTTATGATAATTTTCTTAATTCTCAATTTCTTTCTTCTCGACAATGTATTAAATAGTCAAGATTACAGCCATGAGAGAAAAAGTTTACGACTATTACCAATTTTAGTAACAAACTGGGCAAACTTTTTCAAAAGCGCTTTTACAGGTCGGCCATTTTTTTTGTCTTTGCCCTTTCCTAGCGATCAACAAATTATCTGAAACTTTCAATTCTTTGATCTTATTAAAATGATACAAAAATCATAACTGAACAGGGAAACAGTCTCGATATCTCTGTTCAACATGTTCCTGTTTTGCTCTTTTAACCATTCACACCCTGACATCATTATGCATATTCTCCAAACCGTTCTCTGTATATTTCCCAAGGAGACGACAAGAGGAATTTTTATTAACAATCAAGATCTCCTTTCGTTGATGATCATTTTCTTTATCCTGGTATAGCAAAGGAAAATTATATGTCGGTCACTCTTTAAGTCTAAAGGGTAAAGATGTTGTTACAGTCAAATTAACTAAAGAATTCGTCTGCTTTGGTTTTATGCTTTTTTCTGAAGTTTAGAAATTTTTAGAAAATAGTTGTCTTTTTTTGAAGGTCTTCAGGGTGTGCTGTATCGCGAACCAAAGTAAAACTCGCCACGAGAAGTTCTCTAGGAAAATGTTTCCCTAACAAATTGAAAAATTTTCGATCAAATAGGAGTCGAGAAGTAACTAGTTGTATTTGTGTTAGGCTTTAACTTATCATATATGCAAAAAAAATTAGATATCTATCAGTGGAGTTGAAGGAGTTAACTTTTGAACGATGACGCTCAAAACACTATTCACGCAATAGTAATGTTGTCATATGCTAATAAAGGTAAAGACAGGCCGGCACGGCTCCTTATGAGGTTTTTGTGGTGGCGTCGCATTATTGCCTTCAAATTAAATTTTTGCCCTCACAAGTATGTCTTTAAGAGATTTTTCTTTTTTGCAAGAGATGATCAGAGGTTTTGTCAAAGTTACTTACAGAAAGGGCCGATTGTTAAAAATGTAGAAGGAATATTGATGGAACATTGGAATCTGATAGATGACAACACCATGAAGATGGCAGTGTCAGTATTTTGGATCACTTCCATCCTTGGTGGGGTTTTCAGCGCCGCCAAAAATGTATCATGGGTTACTTCACATGACAGGCCTTGCCACTAACTCGCATCGTTTTCGTTGCCTCTGCTTATGTGATTCTGTATCTTGAAACAAGTCGCCACCAAAATAAGATAAAAGCAGAGCAACTGCCTCGACAAGAGGAAGAAAGATGTTACAAAGAAAGCAGGGTGTTAATGACCACTATGTTTGTAGTTGCTGCTGTTGTTGTCTGCCGTCTCCCGTTTGATTTCTGTTTGATCGTTTAAAATACGGGAGACTGAAAACTTGAAAGTTGTCTGTGTTCTCCCGTTCTTTCGCGTAATGCACTCAGCAAACCAAACTCCTTAGTTATTGTTTTGTATGATAGTTATATTTTTGATCAAGAGAGGTGAGTGTAATCCGAAACTCGTGTTGGAAGTATCAACTAGATTTGGTCACTGTAAAGTACATTTAGGCGACCGAAGCCTCGAGTAGAGGGTATTAGTTTATAGTTTAAAAAGGTATCCAGTGAAGTTTAACGCTCTTGGCTGACTTGGATTTGCTGTTGTTAAAATTTCCAAGCCTGATTGTTTTTCTGTTACATCCCGAATGAGATATACCTGTAGGAACTCAAAATTACGGTAGATTTATGGTAGGATATTCGATTTAGAAATCAATGGATATTTAAGCCTTAGAAGGGACGAAAAAAGCTTATCGGGGAATAATGCTGCGATTCCCAAACGCGATAGGAATCGAATTATGTCTGGAAAATGAAAACTGAATTTCCTGACTAAATTGGATCTTCGTCACTTTCGGATCATTCTTTGGCTCGGTAAATATCATTTTTAAGTGTTGATATGTCCTTTAAATGTTTTAAAACAGAAGAATTTAATATAAATCTGACAGCTTTCAGAATGTTCCACTGAAACGCAGCGCAATTTTCTGTGCGTGTAGTCTCGTAAACAACGATTAACACATGGTGAGTCTCTTACCTGGGTCGCATATACGCGAGCAACTTTTAAAAAAGCTTTTGTTTCAAAATTTAATTTTCTTTGTCGCTGTTGCCTTGCTTTAAACGTATAGATTTCGTTGGGCTCGCGGTTTATATTTCGTAAACCATACAACATTGCGCAAATCGAATAAGCAATTTTATCGCCGAGTGAGTCTGCGATTTTATTTTAAATTTTGACTGTCTGTGCACCTTTTGATTAAGACTCTCACTTCTTTTTCATTTATTTTAAATCTGCTCATTTCAATAGAGCTTTTTTAGAGACGATTTTCATAGAATTATAGCGCGCTGGTCTCCTCGACAGTTAATTGAGAAAAAAACCGCAATCTAAATAAGTGCGTAGGTAATATTATAAAACAATCCGATCACACATCAGCCTTGAATTCAAGAAGATATGAAGCACTCGGAAAATTTGGAGCGTACCTAAGAAACTAGAGTTGCTCTCGGCTGCGCCTCGAGCAATTCTTTCGCCTCGTTTACTTACGTCAGGAAAATCCCAGACAATAGGCGACTTCTCTTATCACCGACCGTCCAGATTTTGCCGATATATCGAGAGATCGACAGACGTCTAGCAAGGTTTGTCCCAGATTCTTCCGCGCGCCATTTTTTTGTTATTTGTGACTTGGGGTTACCGTGGTTAAGCAACCAGAGAAAGGTAGCGAGCTAAAAGTATCGGCGACGTCTCCGACTGGGAAATTGAGGTTTTATAATATCGTGAATGATCGCCGATATTTCAGAAATTTGGGAGAGGCAGGATAATACAAGTGATGCCTATTTTTCGCCGATCATCCCAACAGTCGGGGAAATCTATAATTTCGTATTTTTGTTTGACTATGTCGGCAAAATCTAGGGCGATCGGGAAACATTGAGGTCACTGATAGTCTGGGATTTTGCCCCACATATAAACACTAGGCTTTATATTACGATGTGTTTTCAGTCGTAAAAAAAAAAAAAAAGACCAAAGACCGAGAGGCCCCGTATCAAGAGAAATATCATTCCCTTGATGCCATGTTCATTTGGATCATTAGCAAAAGTGTCCATAATTTTTTTTGTGTGCGCTTCTTAACATGCATCTATATTTTCTGGCTTCTCTACACTTGTTTAGCTGATTCAAATGGCGTCAAATGAGGTAAAAGAAGTTGGATTTTTGCACATTGTCACCACGCAAATTATTAACTGTGACACCAAAGATGAGGAAGATGCCAAATAATTAATGTTTGTAATGAAAATCGCGGTTGATGCGTCAAGATAGGGAGATATAAATTCTCGAATAATTGAAGTGACCATGAAAAAGCTTCATGCAAATAATTTAAGTGACTGAAATCGTTTATGGATCAATATTATTCTCACATCACTAAAATGTGATTTGAAGGTCCGAAATGGTCGCGGCCATTTTTACAGGTCGCGATAATTTGAAACAGCTCGCTGGTGCTTCCACACATCATGTTGTAACATTTCATGTTTTGTGCCTTCCAATGCTAAATAAATATTTCTTGGTTCTAAAGCGAATTACTTGCCGTTCGAAGGCTAAGATTTGAATAGAAAACAGAATTATCTTTTGATTCTTTTTCAGGAATCAAAATTAATGCGGAACTGAGTGAAATAAATTTTTGATTAATAATTTCATTTTATCACCCAATATGTTTTTTCGGACCTTAAATGTTTTCAGTCCTCGGAAAAGCCTTTTTTAATATTCGCAATAACTCTTAATAGCTCACTCACTTTTTATAAATCATATTCTAACTTCAAGAAAAATTTGCACTTTCCACTGATAAATAAATATTTCATGGTTGTCCAGTTTGTGACGTGTCATCGATCTCAGATTTGCATATAAAAGAAAAACTTTTGATTCAGGTTGTATCAATGGATATTTTTCCTTGAACGGAAATCTTAGTCGAGAAATGAGAATTGTCAAACTTTATAATCACGGAATATTTATTTAGCGGTGAAAGACGCTTCAACTTCTTGAATTTAAAGCAAGATATGTGAAGAGTCGAGCAAGCTACTTCAAGTTATTACAACCACTACCACAAGCCTGTGAGGACCGGAACCACTTTGGGCTCACTAAAAATCATTTAGTGATAATATGAAAAACATCAATCCAAAACTACTTCAGTCACTTTTAGACTAATTTTGTTTCTTGAGCCGAGCTTGAGGGAATCCATCTGATTTAAAACAACTAGAGTAACTTGTCTTTTCATTGCAAATCTTAGCCTTCGAACGACAAGTAATATGCCTTAGAACTGCGGTATATTTATTGAGCGGTAGGAGGCGCAAAACTTTCTTTCATTTAGATCACGAAATGTGAAGAGACGAAAAGGCTATTTCAAGTTATCGCGAGCTCTGACGAAAAGCTTTTAAGGGGTTAAGCCACTTGGGACCCGCAAAAACACAGCTAGTAGTAAATTTGAATCCAAACTTTATTGCATTCAATTATTGGATTAATTTTGATTGTTATGCCGAGCTCGAGGAAGGGAAAGCCATCTGATTCAAAATAGTTATAAATAGATATTAGTCTTAATATATCTTACCCTAAGTAGTAATTTAGCGGCGGAAAACACAAAGATTTCTTGAAATTAGAAATTGATAATTAAGAGAAGAGGCGAGCGAGCTATTCAATTTGTCGGGACTACTTAGGAATAGATTTCAAGTAACAAGATCATTTTGAACTCGCTAAACTTAATTTGGCGATATTTTGAAAATACTCTTCCAAAAACGATTGAACTATTTTGGACCTGCAAAAACTGATTTGGTGATATTTAAAAAAGATTAATCCAAAGATAATATCATAACTTTTAAATTGAGTTTGATTTCTGGGCCAAGCTTGTGTAAATTGCTATTTATTAGTCAGCGATAAGCGATTCCAGGGAAGCTTGCTTTCGTATTGTTGTTGTGTGAATGTGGAGTCCGAGGCCATTGTTTGAAGAAGCTTAAACTACTTAAGACATCAGCTTCCCTCTGATTTTTCTCCCACTGTCTTCGCGCAAGATTAAATATCCTTTGGGAAAATTCTATTTGTTAGTCTCCGGTAAGCGATTCAACAGAGCCTTTTTTTGTAGTTTTGTTGTTTGAATGTTGAATCCGAGGTCATTGTTTGGAGATGCTTAACTTACTTATGACATCAGCTGCCCTCCGCCTTTTTCGCTCACCGACATCGCGCAGTTTTAAAAATCCTTTCGGAAAATTCTCTTTTTTAGCCTGCGGTAAACGATTATCTGGAAACTTTCTTTTGTACTGTTGTTGCATGAATGTGGAGTCCGGGGTCATTGTTTGGAGATGCTTAAATTACTTAAGACATGAGCTTTCCTCTGTTTTTTTTTTCTCCCACTGTCTTCGTGCAGGATTAAAAATCCTTTGGGAAAATTCTATTTATTAGTCTGCGCTAAGGGATTTCATGGAGGTTTTTTTTGTGTAGTGTTGTTGTGTGAATGTGGAGTCCGGGGTCATTGTTTAAAGATGCTCAATTACTTAAGACTTTAGTTTTCCTCCGCCCTTTTCGCTCATCGTTATCGCGCGGGATGAAAAATCCCTTAGGAAAACTCTATTTATTAGTCTGCGGTAAACGATTCTATGAAAGCTTTCTTTTGTAGTGTTGTTGTGTAAATGCAGAATCCGGGGTCATCGTTTGCAAAAGCTTAAACTACTTAAGACATTAGCTTTCCTCCTTTTTTTTCTTCCAACGTCTTCGTGCAGAATTGATAATCCTTTAGGAAAATTCTATTTATCAGTCTACGGTAAGCGATTCAACGGAGGCCCTTTTTGTGGTGTTGTTGTGTGAATGTGGATCTGAGGTCATTGTTTAGAGGTGCTTAACTTACTTAAGACATTAGCTTTCCTCCGCCTTTTTTCGCTCACCATCATCGCGCAGGATTAAAAATCCTATAGAAAAAAATCAATTTATTAGTCTGCGGTAAGCGATTCTATAGAAGCTTTCTTTTGTTGTGTTGTTTTGTAAATGCGGAGTCCAGGGTAATTGTTTGGAGATGCTTGATTTACTTAAGACATTAGTTTTTCTCCACCTTTTTCGCTCACCGTCATTGTGCAGGATTAAAAATCCTTTAGGATAATTCAATTTATTAGTCTGCGGTAAGCGATCCAACGGAGGCTTTTTTGTAGTTTTGCTGTGTGAATGTGGAGTCCGGGGTCATTGTTTGGAGATGCTTAAATCACTCAATACATCAGCTGTCCTCTGTTTTTTTTTCCCACCGTCTTCGTGCAAGATTAAGTATCCTTTAGGAAAATTCTATTTATTAGTCTGTGGTGAGCGATTCCACGGAGGCTTTATTTGTGTCGTGTTGTTGTGTGAATTTGCAGTCCGGGGTCATTGTTTGGAGATGCTCAATTACTTGAGACATCAGCTTCCTCTGTTATTTTTTTTCTCCAACCGGTTTTTTGTGCAGGATAAAAAATCCTTTGGGAAAATTCTATTTATTAGTCTGCGGTAAGCAATTCAAAGGAAGCTTTCTTTTGTAGTGTTGTTTTGTGAATGTGGAGTCCGGGATCATTGTTTGGAGATGCTTAAATTACTTGAGACATCAGCTTTCCCTCGCCCTTTTCACCAACCGTCTTCGTGCAAGATTAAAAATCCGTTAGCAAAATTTGCAGGTTACTTTTAGAGGTAGATCAAAGCCTAAACAGTAATATAAATCAATTAGTTGATCTTAATTGAATTACTTTAGGCTTCAAACTCGACATGCTAAATTTCTCGCGGGCTATTTCTGAAAACGTTTCAAACTCGACCAGTGGGGAAGGCGACATTGCAAGTGTTCCTGTGGAGGTTAGTACTATCATCTCTATTATCATCAACACCATCACTTGCCCCTTTACAGTTCTTCTCAACGTGCTGGTGATACAGGCCGTGAAAACAAGACCACGACTCCGAACAAACAGCAACATTTTGTTGGCCTGCTTAGCGGTAACTGACGCATTAAGTGGGCTCCTCGGCCAACCATCCTACATCTTGTGGAGGATAACCCTAATATTTGGCATCAGCAGCAGTCAGGCAGTCGCGAGCTTCTATTACGATGTTATGGCTGCCTTGGTCCTGGCTTCATATCTTCATCTGATGTTGGTTACTTTCGAGAGGCTCGTAGCGATTAAGTTTACGATGCACTACTCGAACATTATGACTCACAACACCATAAAGATAACAGTGTCAGTATTTTGGATCATTTCTTTTCTTGGTGGGGTTTTCAGCGCATTAAAAATGTATTATGTGTTGCTTCCCATGACAGGCCTTGCCACTAACTCATGTATCGTTTTCGTTGCCTCTGCTTATTTGATTTTGTATCACGAAACCCGTCGCCACCAAAAAAAGATAAAAGCAGAGCAACTGCCCGCAGAAGAAGTAGAAAGATTTTCCACAGAGAACAGGGCCCTTAAAACTACTATGTTTGTAGTTGGTGCTGTTGTTGTCTGCCTTCTCCCACTTGGTTTCTGTCTGATCGTTATGAATGCAGGCCTTTATGTTAAATGTCCCATTAGCGACCAAGTGTGGCAAACATTTGGCCTGTTAAATTCGTTTGTTAATCCTTTGATTTACTGCTTTAGACAGAAAGAAATGAAAAAGTTTATATTTGGCAAAAAAACCCACGTCGTACAACCATTTATCTAGTGAGGAAGGAGATTGTCATGGAAAGACTGAAAACTTTGAATAATTTATGTACAATAGCTTTTCTTCCGCTTTTCAATATTATCATAATCATCATTATTCTGATTATTATTATTCGTTACTGCTGACCATTAGTTATCATGTTTTTCGAGGATACTTACATATTAAACAATCCGTCAAACAGACAACCCTTATGTCCTGTAACACTTTTGTTCAGTTTTAAGAAGCGACAGAAGAATAGCTTTTAGCCTGACGTCTTCTGAGATTATCATGTTAAAGCCTATTCTCAAATTTTGAATTAGTGTACTTTAAAGCTGTTTTCATACCTTCGCTTACAACATTAGTTATCATAGCCTCCTCTCTGAATGCCCAAATTTCTTTTCAACGCTAATTCTTGTTATCATTTGCTCTACTTGTTGTGCTTGATCATGAATTAGTTAATTTTACTTGAAACTTGTACCTGAATGGTAATTGTATATTTTTTAGCTCAATGTAACTCAGTTTGTATTTGTAACCCAGTAATACCCGCCATGATTAGCCTATGCTTCATGCAGGTTGTATAGCTTGTAATTTTAGAATCTATGTCGTAGTTAAGAAGTTAAAAAGTCGAATTTAGAATTAGAAACAGGAATTACCTCTCTAGAGAAAATGATTTCAAGATAAATGTTTTTTTTTTCTGCTCACATTCAAATGAAGTAGTTTTTTAATTAAAAAAATAAAAGTGCTCGTAATTGTTGCCACTCTTGTGTCACTGACAACTATTGAATTCATTTATTTGTGTTCACTTTAGAGAGAGGTTTTTTTTTAAACTATGATGGATTGTCGAGTGTCTAGGTTGTCAAAAGGGGCTAAGCAAATGCGACTAAAAATGTAATTGTTGAAAATGACAAGAAAAAGTTGCGAATCTATTTCAATTTCCGGTGAAGTAAGAAAAAAAACAAACACTGAAATTACCTCTAAGTCAACCCTAGAGGTAAAGACAATGGACAATTGTCGATCAGTTATGCAATCTGCTTGCGCTGAATCCATCAAAGATATTACGTAATCATCACAGTAAGAGTGTGGCTGCTTGATTGTGAACGATAGACTCGAAAACCTCTTTGTCAGTAACGTTTTTTTTTAGATTGGAGATGCTATTTTTAGCGGCTTATTCTTCACTACTCATATTTGTTTTGTGGGAAGGCTGGCTGCAATTCCCTGCTGACGGAAAACAGGGTAAGTTTTTCGATCTATGTTGTCGTATTTCCCTACTCAACTGACTTTTGTTCATAACAGCTGTCAACCATTTATGCGAAATAAGGCAGTCTATATTTTACTGTAAAGACCGAACACGTCTTCCTCCACCTTATCAGGATAAATCTTTTACTCCGCGTACAATGTATATTTGACCTCTGATTTGATGTTTGATATCGAGCATAATTACCAACTTGAACTTTCAAAAAATAGATGATACTTCACCTATGAAGCTTTGGTGAGACTGAATTCGAAATGTGGACGTTTTCAGAGTTAAGGTTGCTTATGTTCCTCTTTCACTTAAGATCAACTTTAATTTTGGATTTTTCCTCAGCTTGTTAAAAAAACTGTAAATACCCTCTCTGTAAGCTTACCTTATCACAATTCCAAATGAGCTTCTCAAAACTTAAATTTGACGTCATAACTTCGCCACCAAAGGTGGAATTATGTCAAAGAATACGCAAGTCAAAATTCAAGTCAAATTTGTTACGCGGCAAAAGCAAAGCGAAAGAAGACTTAATCTACATGCTTGAGATAAAGATTTCCCAACATTCGATAAATACCCTGATGTGCGAGGCTTGTATGAGATTTAATTTGAAGGGCAGAAAAATCTCTATGAAGGGGAGTCCTTGGTCTTGCGTGCAAGGCAAACAGCTGCATGGAGCTCATTTATTACTTGTCGGAGCTCATTTATTACTTGTCGGAGCTTAGTGTTTCATCTTAGCCTGCTATTCTGGTAGATAAATTGCAATCATGTTGGTGTTAAAAGCTGTACTTTGCAGGCAGAGAAAACAAACTTACTTTAGTCATGAAATTTATTTTGAAGGGCAGACAAATCTGCATAAAGAGGAGTTCTTGGTCTTTCGTGCAAGGAAAACAGCCGCATAGAGCTCAGTTATTACTTGTCGGGTCTCAGTGTTTCATCTTAGCCTGCTATTCTTGTAGATAAATCGCAATCACGTTGGTGTTTGAAGCTATACTTTGCAGGAAAGAGAAAACAAACTTACTTTACACATGTAGACGTTTTCAAGTGTTTGTTTGATCAGTGGAGCGAAGACAGGTGATATCATGTATGAAAAAAAAAACATAAAACAAACAAACAAAACAAAAGGACAAAAAATACGGTTTTTTTTAGTTCAAGTGAAGATATTGTTTTAACATTTGATACATAACGCGTAAACGTCAGTCTAGGTTTTCAAACAGGTACATAGTAACTTACAGAGCACGAAATCTTTGCCAGGCTGGACATAGGAGAAAAGCCCTCATGTAGTGCAAAATTAACAGGTATTAGATATTACATTCAACTGAAAGACAAGCGAACGGTGAAAATAAATGGTAAAAGCAACCTATTTTAAACAATTTGACAATTAAAGAGTAGATTACCTCAGATCTTTTAACAAAATTAATTAAGTTATCTTTCAGCTGTTAACAGGTTTGATAGGGACCGCTTCGATGTCCCTAACTACTTTGGTGCAAGAGATTGTCAAGGGGATCCCAGCGATAATTAACGTTTTCATGTTTTTAAAAAGTTTGTTTTCAGTTGTTGGTGAAGACATTTTCATGTATCTTTTGAAAATAAACTAAGTCGAGGTCAGTTTTTTTTTTACTGGTATGACGTCTCTTTATGGTACATCTACAATCATCTGCTTACTGTTGTTGACCTTTTTGCAACTTATGAGTGTATCTGGGAGTAAAATGGATTGTTCTAAGAGTCACCCTCCCAGGGTCATTAAAATACCGATAACACTTCTCCTTAAAGGTCCAATTATTTGCAGATTTTGGTTGCCGTAGCCTTCGATTTAAGAAACCAGAGGAAGGATATGCTCCTCAACGTTACGTTTTCAAAGAAATGTATCTGCTAATGGGCACGGAGCTCAATGGTGACTGCAGATATGAGTGCCTGATGGAAAGCACCTGTGTGTCTGTGAACATCGGCCCACCAAACGAGACAGGCTTCAGGCTCTGCCAACTGAGTGATTCTGACCACATCCAACATCGTGAAGATAATGAAACACGAAAAGGTTTTATTCATTGGACAACTGAGGTAACGTTTCTCGAACACAATCATCTAGAATCGGCTTGGATATCAATCGTCAAGTAATATTTACCTTCTTAATTTATGAAATGTTTATAAACGTCATGTCTACTTTTAGAATCCATGTCGCAGTAACCCTTGTCTTCATAATGCGACCTGCCTCAACGGATTTACAGACAAGAGATACATCTGTCTATGTCCAGAGAGTTACACTGGAGAAAACTGTGAAAAAGGTTTCACTGATATTTTGTTTTTCTCTTCTGACGATTTTTCATGCAGCAGGACAGGCTCTCATTAGTATAAATTTACTTTTTTCGTTTCGACAAAAATTAGTGTACAGAAAATACTCATGACTGCCCTGCCAAAGCTTTTTCTAATAATATCGAAGGATCTTATTGTTGCGGCTGTAAAGAAGGTTATCAGGGGGACGGCCGAAATTGCACAGGTAAGGGTTGAAAAAAAAAATGTTGACACCGAGATCGGCTGCTCATTTTAAAAAAAAGAACATAACTTTTCAAAAAAAAAAAATTAATCGCAAGTGTGGTGGATTATTGACCTTGGGCTGTACACGAGAGGGAGAGGAAAGTTTACTTGTCCAATTTTAAAATTTTTCTCACTTTTATTTTCAAACTTTGTAGATGTAGACGAGTGTACGAGTAATGCCCATCGATGCCACTATAATGCAAGTTGCAATAATATTGACGGGTCTTACACTTGCAAGTGCAAAACGGGATTCAATTGCAGTAAGTATGACAGATATGCTTCCTTATTTTCCTGAAAAACGCCGCACGATACCAATCTTTAGCCAGATACAGATAAATTCAGGTAAAAAGTTAGTTTAAAACTATGAGCTGTAGTGATCATAGACGAGTACTTTATCATTAGGTATGCATCACGTAAAGACACTAGTACAAAGTTTTATACATACGTATCTTCCTTGAAAAATATAGTACAAACGCCCGTTTCCAGAGATTGGTATGAAAAAAACCAATTCATTTATTTGTGTATGGAGACTAAACCGAAATCTCTCCCCCATAGCGAGCCTGTTTCTCTTCAGGAAAAAAAAGGTCTTAGAATAAATAACAGTGTTTTCGTGGGTCCTCTTAGTCACAAGAGTTCTGGTCGATTTTCTTTTCCAAAATACTTACAACTAGAGATCTGTAGTTCCATGTTTCTGCGTTACGCTGGTCGCTTGTAAACAAACAAACTAGCAAACAAACACAAGGAAAACATGAAATTACTTGGTTATACCTATGCCGGTTTGAAAAAATTTTTTTTAAAATAATTGTCGTACAAAACGTCCTCAGCATTCAAAGCTGTTTTTACAAATCTCAATACCACTGGAAGATATGGTCCAACAACGCTGGGCAGTCACTACTTAGATCAGGATCATGACGGACAAGTTAAACTGTCTAGTGGTATTCAACAGTGGACTGTGCCGTACACTGGTGACTACAGAATAGAAGCAGTAGGAGCAACAGGAGGGTACGATTCACACCCAAACAGCTCTCAGTACCGGGGAAGGGGAGCAAGAATGATTGGAACATTCCGCTTGAACATGGGCGAAGTCATTCAGATACTTGTTGGTCAAGCGGGAGGCATAAATAAGCTGAAACATTCATCTGGAGGTGGTGGAGGTACATTTGTTGTAAGAGGAGCTGATACACCTTTGATAGTTGCTGGAGGTGGAGGGGGCGTACATACGGTTCATTCCAGATACGCAGAATGTGACGCCAACAGAGACACAGCTGGGAATCCTGGGCGCAAGTCAAGGAAAGGAGGTAGAGATGGAAGTGGTGCAAGGACTACCCCGAGTGGATTTTCAGGTAAGAACGCCTAAGTAGGGAGGACCATTTAAGGAACAAGGTCGCTTAAAAATTTGTTAGCAAAAAATGAATGAATATAGAGATGAAAGTCTTACTTAAGGATGCCGGTCTAATAATCTCTTTTAATAAAGGTTTTGGTCGGGCTTTTTGCGATAGAGGAGAAATATTTCCCACTGAGGGAATAATTGAAAACTCCTAAATATCTTATCGTGTAACTTCTCAGTCGTTTTTTTCTTATATATGCTATGATAAATATAAACATACCTTATTTCAGGTGGTGGTGGTGGTGGGTTTTATTCCAGTGGAAGAAGTGGAAAAGGTGGAGAAGGCGGTATGGGATTTCTTCAGGGAGGGGTGGGTGGGAGAGGCAGATTCAACGTTACTGACGGTGGATTTGGTGGAGGAGGTGGGGCTTCTGATGGAAATTTAAAGGGTGGGGCAGGGGGAGGAGGAGGAGGGTACTCTGGTGGAGGCAGTGGGAGTAACAAGAATGATTCCTGTGGGGGAGGTGGTGGATCCTTCAATGTTGGAAACAATCAGCGGAATGAATGTTGTTACAATTCCGCGGGTCGTGGTCACGTGACCATCACATTGCTGTAGAACAGACAAACACGAGTCATTGAGCACACCAATGATAACAAAAGGTATAGATTAGAGATTAGATAGATACGGGGAGAAGTTGAGTTGACCATCTCATTTCTTTAGAATTGTTAGAGATAGTTATATCTAGAATACCTAGTCATGCTGACAGGCATATGCATACACGTACTTTCAGACTGTCATGCCACGAAGCATTCTAGAACACTCTATTTGGTCACGTATTTTTGATGTAATATTACCAAATAGTTATGCTGTAACCTTCCGCTATGTTGTAGATTACTTTGTTAATGTATATGTGGACTCAATTGAGTAGTAATAGGTGTTGTTGTCGTTATGTTGTTGTTGTTGTTGTTCTCGTTGTCGGGATCGACCGACTGTTTGGAAAGTTACACCGACAGAGCGAGAGCTACTGTGGAGGATTGTTTATTTCAAGGAGTTTAAATGCAAGTTTGCGTCAGTGGCGAGTCAAAGTAAAGGTTGTCGTCGGCTTAAGTTAGTTAATCAAGGATAATTTCTGTGTCGTCTATAGGAGTCGCTCCTGAGTAAAAATATTACAATTCGTTAAATAAATAAAAGTATTTGGGTTTGTAGAAGTATAGTGTTCTTGCTGTCAGTTAGATTATATCTAAACAGAATAACAAAGCATGTATCATGAAACTCTTACATGATATAAAAGTAATCAGTGATTCGAAGTCTTAAGTCTTTTTGACATATATTTGTATGGCATTCGAAATGCAGATTTTTTTTCATGTTTTGTGATTGCGCTCTGTAACCAGCTTTTTTAATTTTCACTCAGATTATGTTATGGGAGATTGTTCTTGTTCATTTCAGATTTACTTATTTGATGTTTAGTTGATTGAAGTTCAACTTATGTAAAGCTGTTGTTGTACTGTAGAATACACTGGAAACTCAATGCGAAGCTATCATGTAAAAAAAAAAATGATGAAAAAGAAAAACGTTCTCTGGCATATTTTTTGTCTGCGTTTCACTCTTTTAAATTCTCCTAATGGGGGCATTGGTATAGAAAAGAAATTATTGAATGTTTCTTCCATTATTTTCATGAATAATACTTAGGAAAGAAAAAAAACGAGTTGGAGGATCGTTGAGGGGTCCGAATAAATATTTGGCATTATTTTGCATTCGCTAAGTTGATCAGACGATTGTTTTGAAACGAAGAGAATATTATGCCCTCACTTTGTTTTCATCGACGGATCCGGCCCAGTAACGAGGAATGAACCTGAATATGCTGTGGTTGGGTTTAAATCTTGAATTCAATGGTGGATGTTCCTCTAAAAATTTAGCTCTAGCCGTACTTTTCGCTCCCTTTGTTCGAATCGTTCATTATGCAGTTGGAATTACCCTGTAACATAAGGTTTTTTTTAGTTATTTAAGCAGCTATCTTCGCTGTTCAAATTTTTTTTCTGTGGGGAGGATGACTTGACTGCCCTACGAAGAGAACCCAGGGTAAGCTTATTGTTTCTATCCAGTACACTTACGCTGAGCTCTAAAAGGTTGTTTAAGAATTTGTTCATGCTTAGCGTGCGTATATCGAGTTATGGGTGTACGCGGGAAGTTTGGAGAGCGAGAAAAATACGTAAGAGTATATCGAGGCGCAGCAGAGAGCAACTCTAGCTTTTTGAGTGCTCTCCAAACTTCCCAAGTGCATTCATAACTCGATATACGCACAGCTAAAAGCATGAGCAAATTCTTTTATAACAAAGCGACAGCGAACAAAAATTGCTCACGTCATCTTATTTACGCATGGGCGTGCGTGTTCATATCGGCCCAATAGAACTTACATAAGACAAGCACGCGCGCTATGTTATCATAAAGATTTTCTCCGGAAGCTTAATCTACTGAACACCAAGTGAAAATGATTTTTTTATAGATACTCGAGACAAATAGGTGATATCTATGCGCAAGTGAGAACTTGTCTTTTTCTTTTATTTCTTCTAATTCAAATATAACGGTGCAATTCAAATAACTGGTGTCTATGCAGGAGTTGCATAATTCCTTTCTGAGAGCCTTAATTGCTAAGAAAAAAACAACAACAACCTAGCTTTAAAAATTCATCGGATTACAAATGCTAACTTTTATAAAAAAAAACTCACATTCTCCACTAATTCACTTGCCAAGTTGTCATCGGACAGTTTGTTATCAAACAGCTCAATAACTCAATCACATTCAAATTTGTAGTTTAAATTAATCAATCACAACCTTGGTTTTGATTACCATAGAAACAGTAAAATTCAAGCCTCCTCTGTCAGTATTTTAATGGAAATTTTCCCTTTCTTTCATAACTTGGCTAGAAATCTTTTCTTGGAAATTGTAATTTTTTATGATTCGTCGGTGATAGGACTTTCTGTCGTCCTATTTGGTCTGTTATTATACTTGTCATAACAAATCGAACTCCCACTGCGCGGTCGTCCATTCCAGTCATTTTACCATTACGTATAATTTGCTCCGATAATTCTGGAAATGCGGCACTCTGGTTGGTCGATGATTGTGTCAGATCTCGCTATAATCACCTAGCGCGAGTTGATAGGAGCAGGATGTTAAATTTCAAATTGGCTAATCCGCGTTTTGTCAATAAACGTGATAGAAGACACAAATTCAAATCTGGAGGGCACAAAAGTTTGGCGTAAAACCTTTTAAAAGAAAGATGTAAAGTTTTTGGTGATTGAATTAAATAAAATTGTTAAATTCTGGTGGAAACTGGTTGCCTTTTTCAATACGAGTAACCAAAACAATTCTAACAGAATGATTCTAACAACAAAACAAATTTACACCAGAATTCGAAAACACCTGAAAATTATTCTGCAGAAATTATTCGCCTCAAGCTCCAGTTTGGAAATTGAGCGGTTAATCCAGAAACTTCGGCATTCCTAAATACCATTCTTTTATTCTTCATTCCACTTTTCTGATGAGGTTCTCTGGGATTCATTCGGTAGGTAGCTGATTCTTAAAGGGCTGTGTCCATCTAAAGGAGGAGAAGTGCGTATAAGATAATAGTTCCCTCACTATCCGAATCTTGCGGCAATGAATCGGTGGAAATTTTTAGCGAATGGAAAGTTGGGTAGTTAAAGGGGTTGAAAGCGGGGATGGATCGTCTTACGTCATATATATTTGACAATTTCATCATTGTACCGGATGATTAGGAAATAAAAGCATTCAAAATATAAATCACCATGGCGAAAATGCATGTCGTCAAAATTTTCGTCAATTGTGTTGAGAGAGTTACAAGAACAGAATAGGTTATTTACTTTTATATTTAATTATTATATTAATATTATTATATTAATTTATTAATTATTAATACATTAATAATTAATTATATTATTATTATTATTTTTATTATATTATTATTATATTAATATATATATTTATTAATATCATATAATTAATACATTATTTACTATTATGCAGAATTAAGAGACCATACATCGGTGACCTATGTACATTGCTGACAATATTATTGAGAGTCTCAAGACGAATTAGGCTTGTCCCCTTTTCGCCCGATATTTAGTATATGTATATATCAGATCCTATTTTATAGTTTATCAAACAATTTATTGTGCTCACAGAGAGGTGTTCTGGATCCAAAAAAATGCAAGAAGTAGGCAATGGTGGTACAACGTCTTCTGTTTGTGTTTCGTGGTCACACCTCATTATTCCGCGGTACTTGCAGCGTTTTTTTACTACCAAGTTTTGCTTTCGTGATTCACCTTTATTCGCATCATTGACTTCATGGTCTCTTTGAGATAGAGCAGAACTCATAGCTCCTCTGTCTTTTGCACAGGCAGCGATGGAAGGTTTTCCAATCATACCCGTCTGAAGCTGTGTTTTGAGCATATTCTTACCAACCATACCACGAATTTCGCCATGCAAATCGTTGAGAGGAAGAAGCAAGGCCAAACAACAGGAAATAGACCATCGTGGGTTTTTACCCCACTCTTTTAAATACTGATGTACATAAACGAATTCGAAGTATTGAACTGAAGTTTAAATGTTATAAAATGCAGGTTATAATGCTTTTTCAGCCTGAGTTTTTCAAGTCAAATTGGGTGGTTGATGAAAAAACATTTGATTCGAGCAGCCCCCCCTCCCACCTCCCTGAGAGAAGACTATTATCCGTATCACAGAACAGCCACATTCAAAATTTATTTGTTTGAATCTAACGCATTGTTTTGTTGCTCTACTAATGAGCAACATAAGGATGCCACGTGCACTAAAGTAATGTTTAAATATTTCAAGCCAAATATTTTGGTGCTTATATCTATTTACCTATGAGAAGCCCAATCACGAGAGTATTTGCTCCAAATATCAGAATCTTCATTGTAATGGTGTCCATGTGTTTATCCAAGACGTTAGATATATTCTCTACTGGGATTCTGCTCACCGCACCGATACCCAAGTTGACAACTGTAACAGCAAGGGAGGTCGTCATTAATCTGTTCTCGAATGGGTCCTGTATTGGTTTCATCCAAGAGAACTGAATACCATAAATACCAGCCACTACCCATGCCAGCCCGATGAAGGACCTGCTCTCCTGACCCACGAGAATAAGGCCAGACGTAAGAACTATTTTCCGAGACACTTCAACCAGTTCCCAATACCACGTACGCGGTTCGTAGTTGTCGGAAAGGAACCGAAGACCTTCGAAAATTTCCCTACCAACGCCTACACCTTTACCGTCTGCGCCAGATGATATTGCTCGACGATGCCTCCAAAGAGCGATGAATGTAGCAGTGGGTAGGGCGAAGATGTACGCAGTGGAGATGTACGCCAAAACCAGCAAATGTTTATATGTTTGAACTTGACATTTAACACTGTAGCCTGCTTTGAGGTACGTTTTGCAAAGATCTTCATTTTTGTCCCTGCAGATTTCACGGCAAGCAGACGGTAGAACACTGGCTGTCTTGGAAAACGTACTCAAGTAAGTTATATACAGAATGAAGAAGAGGTTTTTGTACACGATCTCTTTCATATGCGAGGTTTTTGCCCTTTTTTGTTCGTCTTCTAAATGTTTTTTTCCAAAGATAATTCTCCT